AGGACATTTGCACTATAGCTTCCGCTGAAAATATTTTATAATTTGTCTATCCAAAGCAAAGTATTATTACATAATATGTTATGTTTACTACACTAAAATAAGCAACAGCCTTATTATGTTATTAACTGTCACCAAGTCTCCCCTCCCATTAAGCAACTTGAGGCCTTTTGCTCATTTTCTTGATGAAAACTCGATTATTAGACTTTATATGGCCTAATAAGACAACAGTTGGCTGTAGTTCTTCTAAAAGTTCTTCTGATCGTTGCTGAGTCTACTCACTCGGAATACGGTGGTGTCTTTGACGCAAATGCCAAGCACAGGAATGTGAATTGGAAGAAGATGGTCTATTTCTTTATTGGTTGTTTCGCTTCGTTCTGTAACTTTTGATAAAGATGTCATTTTTAGGCCTATGATTTTACTTGTGGCCCCTTTTTTCTCTTCTGTTCGTTTTTGGTCGTCTTCACAGTGACCCAGTTTGTTGATCCAAGTCTGCCTGACACCCACCTCTCCGACACGAGTATCCAAACCACGGCAACTGAGGCGACCGATTTACCTGTTCCCGGTGATCCCAGTCATTTGGTTGACTCAGTAATTTCTGTGGATTCTATGGATTCATGCCTCAACACCAATCCAATCGAGGAACTACCCTTTTCAGAGCCCAATTACTTTGACTCTGCCTCCACGGCTACTATGATTCGTTTACTTATTTCACGCAGCCTTTCTCGACTTGACCCCAGCTGGTTCGAAAACCAGTCTGTCGAATCGTCGAATCGCCACCTAGTCGGCGGCACCGATGTTGACCTCGAGCCTGCAATACTAGCCGATGATCAGCCTGGCGAGGAATTGGATGAGAGAGAGGCAAATAGCTCGTTGCTCGGTTCGGAATTGCTCTCCAAAAGCGACGTTCCAATAGCTCAATTGCTTCACTCTTCCAACCCGGATTCCTCTCAGAATGGTTGTTCTGGTATCGGAACTCCAGCTTTGAGAACGAGAGGCTTATCGCCATGCTTAATTGAACCATCTTCAATGACAGCACTAAACCAAGGCTTGTCTGTCAAACCGGAGCATAATGGTTCAAGGTACGAGATCATTTTTTCCCTTAATTAAAGCATGCCTTTCTTTTTTGTCACCTGAAGAATATTTGTTATATTAAAGTAATATATCGCGAATATATTGTTAAAATGTCATTACTCCGAATATTTGTCTCTAAATTGACAAATGTAAGAAGCTTAGGTAGCTTATGCCCTAACTAGTGTAAGATGAAGGGATAAAAATTTAACAGCGCCCTTCGCTGCTCTGCTTTTCAGTACTACTATACTCGCTATAGCCACATGATAAAGAAAATAAGTGAGGACGGTTCAAGTCATCATCCAAATAGCCAGAAGCACAATCATGCTAATAAGTGCTAGGGCTCATATTTGCTGTATTCTGCCTCATCTCAGTTAACTATTTATTGCCTTAAGCCTTTTTGTGAAGCCATCAATAAAACTTATTATTTTTATTATAAAAATAATATTAAAAAGATGATGCTAATAATGATGGTGATAATTATAATTACTATGGTAATTATGATTATCTTGATAATGGGTGTGGTGGTAGTAATAGTGCTGGTGGTAGTGGTGGCGACGGCGATGATTATGATGATGAGCAGAAGGAAGATGAAGGTGATGATAATGATGATGATGTTGAAGGCTACGATGATAAGGCGATGCTAGTAATATTAATATAGAATAATAAAGGAGCATTGACCGAAAAGCCTTATAACACCGTTGGTAATGGATGCACTCCGCTGGTGTTTATAATTAGTCAAAGCAACTGAAAAGAAAGTGTTGAGCTTTAGACCATCCTAGACTTCCTATTTGCCCCCGTTTAGGACCCACCGCAAAATTGACTTCAGTCTTGACCTTGATCCGATCAAGACAAACCCTACGCCGGGGTTCGATCCACGAAATGTGGTTAATTTGTCTCGAAATTTTCACATCCTAGGTTCAATTTACGCCTGAGTTAATGACCATTTGCCAAATGACTGGGGACAGAAGTCTGGTTGCAGTCTGATCAAAAGTTCAAGACTTCTCATTGAAATCGCGTGGTTAAAATATACTTATTTATAAGTTGCAATATTTTTCAGTTAGTAACAGTTCTAAGGCTGCAGAGTCCTACCGGTTTCGATTGGTTTTGTATTGGGCTGGTATAGCTACTATCCATGACGAATTGGCAAGAAGACTTAATGTTTGTAAGGCATTTTACATCTTAATGCACCCCGAAAATCTGTTCTCATTTTGCCTTTACTTTTGCGCGATAAAACCCGAAATGATCATGATAGGAGAAGCCGCTAGCTCTTGATAGTAGGTATTTTCCCTTTAATTCACCTTCCTACGTCTGTATACTGAGGGCTTAACGGTCAGGAATGAAGGTCTCTTTCAAAAATCTTCCTTCCTTGTCCCGTTTGAAGTGGTTTTGCTGTAGCCGACTGCTTGTTGCGGGGATATATCGAGTCAGTCTGTTCCCAAATTCTCTCTTTCCAGTAAAGGCTGACTTATTTCTTTATCTTGCTTCTTTGTCATAACCGTTGCATTGTTCGAGCACTAAGCTCCAATACAAAATTATCATAATGCCCTCCCATGGAAGTTCACTTATGCCTTATTTCTCTTATCATGTTCCCTCAACTTTCCATTCGTCTTCTAGGACTCAGTAGGCCAGCTCCCTAAATGGCCATCACCATGACCGGCAAGCTGATTTCAGCTCCTCGCAGGCTGATCATTTGGTCCATCATGTTTACATGTTTTCGCCTTCGTCTCTGGTACAAATTTACGCTCCCTCTTTACTCAGCTCTTTCAATTTGTGTTTATGACTCTTTTGGCCCTATCCCTGTTCATCTTCTCATCTCCATTTGCACAAACATTTATCCACTCAAGCTTAATGATGTACGTGCGCCTACATTCTCCGATTTTTTTATCCTTATTGCTTCTTAGTAAAGAGCTTGTATTTATTCATCTGTCAACCAGGCTTGCTCCCTTGCTTGCTCTGTATCGTTAAGAAGTATCTTATTTGGATATGCTTGGAACCAAAATTTGGGACATGTTGTACTTGGTTCAGGTTGTACTTATTGGTCCATCACTTACAAATAGCCTTAATATTCTTTCACACATATCCCTGGGTCTATTTTGTCCATAATCGTGATCGTTGGACTTAAAAAATGTGAATTTTTGTTGTAGTTGAATTTTGCCCATAATTAGCCATTTCCAAGCCATTTCCCACAAAAATAGAGATCGCATGCGGCTTGCATCGCTATTTGTGAAGCTTAAAGAAGCATACCTCTGCAACCAAACGTTCCAAATTCGTTTCCGATTTTTCCTATAGTAGTGCACTCTAACCTTTTACTTGTCCTCTATGTGTACATCATCTTTAAGCCTAGATGAATTTTCGTCTCCTGTGCTGAATGCCCGTATCATTTGGCAGCTTACATTGTTCTACAATCCGCTCGTACTCGTAGCATACGGGAATTCCTTCGTGAGCTACATAGCCCCTTCAATCTGTTCTCGCCATCCGTCCTGCTCCCTACATACGCCATCAACATATCATCTGCCACCTGAAGATTCGGGTGAACTTCACCAGATATGATGCTGCTCCATCTCGCTTGGAGATAAGATTTGATGAATTTGTCGCCTGAAGGATTTGATCGCATGTGGGCACGGAGCAATGCCATTTGGAAATTGGCTTGTGTATGTGCGTGGGCACACATTCTTCCAAGAATGTAAGAGTATAAATTGCCAAATATACAAATAATGTATGCTTACATACGCATAAATGAATACTTGTCTGAACACATTCATGCATACGCATATATG